TTAAGGATGCCCCAAACTTCTACCCCAGGTTTACTCCTGGCTGAGATTGAAGCGAAAGAATATGTGAAGCCTCTGCAGGAGGCAATCTGCACCCAAATTTACCATGAGATGCATGTGCTCCCTGATATTTGTCCAAATTATTACCCAGTCCACTGAAAAAAAAAAAAAAAGTTTATCGGCTAATATTCACAATGAGAAAACTATAGTAGTTGGAAAAGTATCAGCACCTACCATGTGATTTTCATCTTAATAAAACAGCTCATTTAGAAGGGTGGACAAAGGGTACCACATTGCCATAACAGAGCAGCAAGAGCTCAGGCATTAGGGTGACCAACTTGTCCCATTTGCTCAGGAATACCCTTGTTTTTAAATAAAAAACCATACTCTAGCAACCCCTCAGTCCCTAGCAAACCCAAATGATTGGTGGGTGCTGTGGAGTGAGAAATAACACAGTGCTCTTAGTTTATTTATATCTCTGAGCTATCATCTTGTTCTCCAAATGGGAATAAGAATGCTGTGCCCACAAGGTTGTAATAAAAGCTAAATGAGGTTATGTATATAAAACGCTTAGCAGTGCCTGTTACATTATAAGCAGTCAAGAAACATTAGCTACTATTGTCTTTGTCACAACTATTATTATAATATTTACTCTCTTTTACTGCCTGACTCCACCCCATTGTAAGAACCAAACCTTTCTTTATGCCTGCCTAAACTGTGGACAGTCTCCAAGGCCCCTTCTTTAAAGGGGCCTTTTCATAAAGAATTTGCCAACATGACAGTGATAACATAAAATATGTTAGGTCAAATCATGAAATTGATGGTTTTGTGAGTCAAAATCATTTGATAATGTGTAGTAACCTATGTGTACATAAACCAAGCACAGGGTATGACCTGCAGGAGGCTGATAAACGGGCCTCTCTTGTCAGTCATCTTTCCACTATTATCACAGGTTTCAATAGGATGTCAGAGCTCATGTCATTACATTCTTTTCCATTAAAACAATTTATTGACTACTAAAACAATGAATTTTTAACCTTTCATAAAACTCACATAAAAATTGACAAATCAGAAAAAAAATTCTCTAGTCTTGAAACTGTATGTTTGCCTTTGATACGGTTGCCACTATGTGTCCCTCCCTTGTGGCAGTGAATCCTGTGCTAGCTTGTGTTACACTTTATTTTTTTTTTAAGATTTATTTATTTATTTATACAAGCACTGGGTACAGTCAGAAACACAGGAGCGTGAGAGAATTCACCAGAGTCAGAGGGGAGAGCAGAGCAGGCAGACTGATCAAGTACACTGCTGAGGGGAGCAGTGGGCGCGGCAGGAGAGGTCTGCGCACCATGTGGGACCCTTGCCAGCAGCCGGGGATCTTACGGGCACTGCAGAGGCTGCGGGCAGCTTCGCAGTCCAGCGCTCAACCGCTGTGCCACCAGGGAGGCCCTGTGTTACACTTTAGTCATCTTCAGTGCACATATCTTATGCTGAATCTTGACCATCTTTCATTCCTCTAGACCTTTTATAATATCCAGTGTTACAAAGATATATATTAATTCTGGATAATTTAAAAAGGATTTTAAGTGCGATAGAAACTAAGTGGGAAATTTACATAGGTTTTGGGGTCAAAGGAACATCCTTGGGGAACAGGCCCTTAGCTAAATCTCAGGAGCAGCACTTCTAATATGGTGGCCTCTAGCCTCATGGACTCACAGGCATATTGAGCACTTGCGATGTGGTCAGCCAAGCTCAGATGCAATGCCAGATTAGAATGGGCACTGGACTTCAAAGAGCCATAAATAAAAGATGTAAAATATGTTATTAATAATTTTTTTAGTTATCACACTATAATGGTTACAATTTAAGTATATTGAGTTAGATAAAATATATTATGAAAATCATCCTCACATGTTTTTAACTGCTACAACATTTGAAAATTCATCTGAGACAGTCCAAATGTCCATTAACATATAACTAACTAAACACAATGTGGTCTAGACATGTAATGGAACAGAATACAGAATAATGGAATATTTCACCTTAACAAGGAAGGAAATTCATATGCATGCTACAACATGGATGAGCCTTGAAACATTCTAAGTAAAATAAATCAGACATAAAGAGGAAAATATTGTATGATTTCACTCATATGAGTTACCTGAAATAGGTAAATTCATAAAAAGGAAAGTAGCATAGAGGTGACCAAGGACTGGCAAGATGGGGTGGGGAGGGGATAGAGAATTAGTGTTTAATGGGAACAGTATTTCTCTTTAGGAGGGTGAAAAGGTTCTGGAAATGATGACTGCTGATGGTAGCACAAAATGATCAATATACTTAGTGCCACTAATTTATGTACTTAAAATGGTTAAAATGGGAATATTAATGTTATGCATGCAAGAACTGGGGTACATAGGCCAGAGGTGCAGGGGGTGAGAGGATTCACCAGAGAGAGTGGGGAACAGAACAGGCCGACTAACTGAAATTCAGTGCTGAGGGGAGCAGCGGACGAGACAGGCAAGGTCTGCTGTGCCATGTGGGTCACCTCCCTGACTGGGGATCGAACTCATGCTGTAGTGACTGTGGCTAGCTTCACAGTGCTGACATCTAACCTCTTGTGCCACCAGGGAGGCGCCATCACTACAATTTAAAAAAAAAAATCATATATGGTTCATGTGTGGCTCACATTGTATTTTCTTTTTGAATAGAGCTGCTTTGCACTTACAGCATGGGGCCCGACTACATGCCCTTCTGGCTGTAACACTGATGGTGTTTGAGAGATCATCCTTTGGAGTCAAAAGATGTTATGATTTGAGTTGTAACTCTGTCCCTGACTGCCCAGGAAAGCTTGGGCAATCCCAGAACTTCTGACAACCTTAGTTTCCTCATCTGCAAGTCAGTGTTGTCAGTCTAAAAGAGAGTATATATTTATAGATATATATACAGCAAGCAATAGAACCACAGGAGGTGATGCTGAAAAAAAATGGTATTTATTGTACTATTGATAAAATCAGTCTTTAATTCTTGTCGATAACTGTTTTGCTAATGCCCGATGAATAAGTCAAAGGTTCTACAGCATTCCACTTGCCTGGGTGAAAGCCTAGTCAGGGAATGTGATACCATTTCTGAGCACTATGAGAAAAGAGTGCCATTCTAGTCTATAGAAACAGTATTCATTTCAGAGCCTCCCTCCCTCAATGGTCCACAAATGCATCACTTCATGTGATATATGCATTTCCCAAGGATTTCCTGTTGGGCAAAAGTATGCACTGAAAATAACCAAAATTATGGAGCAAATAAAGTTAGAGGAAGATCACTCAAAACCTACACACTAATAAAACAACTGGTCCCCAGGGAAATCACTTGACCAGCTGAGACTCAACTCAGTGTGACAGAGGCCACCACAGTGGATTTTAAAAAATCCACACACACACATATACACACACATGCACACATATACAGATAAAATGGAAATGCTGGCAGTGCCTTAGCTGGAGGAAGACCAGGGGTGCCTGTTCCTGGAGGAGCCCCCAGTTGTGGGCACTTATGTTAAAATATTTGTTAGAAAGCAGCTTAAAGGTCTCTGCTGCCAATATAGCAGGCTAAGTTCAATGCATTTTCTTTTCTTGCTGAAGCTTTTAATTGAACTCCTGCAAATCCAGTTGCCTCTGTCCAGGGAAACAGAAAATCACAGATGATGCAATATGTCTTCATTGCACAGACCGCAGTCCCTTTTATAGTAGCAAATGACCTACCTCATATTACAGAACAGATAAATCTGTATTTTCTTTGTGCTGGAGGCAGTGTTACATCCATTATCCTATCTAATATTCACAATACTCTACACAACTCATGTGATTATGCCCATTTTAAAACTGACTACCTTGCTCAAGGATCCTACAGTAAGTAAAGAGCATTAGAATTCACATTGTCTGCTTATCTCAAAACCCATGCTTTTAACCATTGTACTATAATGCCTGTCTACTTTAAGCCACTTAGGATATGACAAATGTGACCAGAATCTTTAGCAGATTTTAGATTCAGGCTTCACTAAGCTCATCCCTCAACTTACTTCCATGGCCTTTTCTGAATCCCCCCTATAAAGGATTAGTGAAGATAGCTGAAATGATCCGGGCATATTTCTTCTCTGAAGTGCTAAGGAAATTGGAAGGTATAATGTCATCTGCTAAGAGCTCTAGTTCTGAGGCTACTGTTGTGAGTTTATCTCCTGTCAGGCATGAAAATGAAGTTTCCTATGTTCTACTAAGGTCTTAAGTGAGCTCCATGCAAGAGTGTCCAGGCAGACCCGGAACAGCTCCAATTGTTAGGAGTCATGATGGGCGAGATTCTTGAATGAAATTCAGAAATTCTTTCATCCTGGGATATTCAGTTAATATCATCAGAGCAGCCAGAGTGGTTATTAAGATATTAAATATTTCTGTAGTGGTGGATAAACAGCACCTAAGCCCTCCAAATGCCCCCTTCTACCAAATTAGCTTCCCTGGCTCCTCCCTTGGTCCCTTCTAATCACCCCACATTTCAAGAACTAAATGTCTGGCTTCATATGGGGCTCTAGTTGTTCAGTTGGCATTCATTTTCACTGGCCAAAGCCTCTACCTGCTGTTTAATATTCCCAATATTGTCTCTGCCAGACTGTCATTCTGTAGCTAAAGAACTGTCTTAATTACTGAGATCACAGTTGCCTGTATTAATATTAATGGAATAGTGAATATAGACAGATGTGAAACATGAGAAAATAACCTGATCCTACTGGATGAATCATCTATTGTTTGGTTTAGGAATCCTTTTTTGAAGAAGGGTTTAAATTCATTTCCAGAAAGTTTCTGAAGCAAGGATTGTAATGCGCCTTCCTGGTGGTGCAAGGGGTTAAGCACAGCGCTATGAAGCTATCCGCAGCCTCTGCACAAGTTCGATCCCCCAGCTGGCCAGGGAGCTACCCACATGGTGCAGCAGACTTCTCCTGACTCGTCCACTGTTCCCCTCACCTGTGTATTTCAGTCAATCTGCTTGTTCTGCTCCCCACGTGGTCTCTGGTGAATCCTCTCACCCCCCGCACCTCTAGCCTGTACTCCAGTTCTTGTATGCATAAATAAATAAATCCTGCAAAAAAAAAAATAAAGCAAGGGTTGAAAACTATAGATAGGTCAACTTTGGCCTGCAAGTGATCTTTTTTAATGGAATTAAATTGTGCAAAATATTAAAATCAAATACTGAGCCAAAAAAACCCCAACAAAACCACCAAGTGTATCACAACTTCCCTTTTCCCTTCTATCTTATCCTATAGCTCAATTATACATTTGAAATCCCAGCTTGTTCCCTGAAGGCATCCCAGTTAAAACCCATGTTTTAAATACATAAAACAGCACCTCAGTTCCATTAGTACTTACTCATCAGTGTAGGTCAACATACAGCTATGACTTGAGCTGTGATGTTTCTGTTTTGCTTGAGCAATGGATACAAAACTACATACAGAGGTAGCCAATTAAGATTAATTAAACATCTCACCAGACTTAACATGTCTAATTAGATTTGATTCATCTTTAATTGTATTACCAATGAGCATATTTTGATGATTATTTTACATCTTCTTCACTTCATAGGAGACAAATGCTCATCTCTTCCCCCTGGGCTTTTTCCTTCCCTTAAGCGGTGTGATGGTGAGTCATCCTGAAGAGCCATGTTCTCCCTGATTCGGTCCCAGTAAGTAAACCCATCTGAGAGCTCAGGATGAAATCTGGGGCACTAGAGAAACTTCTGGCTTTGGGCCACCCCCCCGGATTATTCATGTGGAGTCAGGGTGTGTGAGTGCCCAGCCACAAAGATGCAGAACCAAGGCCAAGGGGGAAGACTCTGGCCTGAAATAATTGAGGAAACACCACTGGCGCCACTGACTTGGAAACTCCAAGTAGAAACACATGACTGTGGTTCAGATCCAGGTGCCCCTGACCCTCTCCCCAACACTCTTGTGTTAGCTGTGAGGGGAGCTACGAGCAGCCCAGATGTCTCTCTGACCTAGTGTCAACCTGGTCATTTTCATTATTCCTCTCAGCAACCCTGCAAGAAGTTTTAGAAAGTCTGGGGTTTTCAGAATAAACAGCAATCCTCGACCTCTAATTCTCCCCTCTGTACTCTTATAATTACGCTATTGGTGTTAAGTTGATTGTATGTTTTTAGTAGATTGACTGAGTACCCATGATGCACATAGCACTATGAAAATCCTGGTGAAGGGACTCAAAGGTGAACAGGACATAGATTCTGAACTTAAAGCATAGTAAGTTTCATTTGCAGTCTGACAGTGACTGGGAAGGGATGGATTCAGAAGCATTCTCAGGCTGCAATATGGATGAGTAGGAGACCATGAGTGGTCCAGTCATGATGTCTAATCTGGCACAGGATGAAATGGCAGCAGTTTCATTACTGAGAAGCAGCGCAGAAAGGGAGGTAATACTATCACCCATTTGTCTGTCATGATATACAGGGCAGAGAAAATAACCATTACAGTTTACTATCAAAGACATACCAGACATTAGGTAGGTGTTTAATATGCATTTACTCTTATCTTTTAATAATAGCGGCATGGTTTAATCTTGATCAGTATGACTACTTTTCTTTTTTTTTTCTTTTTTATTGTATTCTTTTTTATTAAAGTAATGTTGATTTACTGTATGTGATTTAGAGATATCAATTCACACCTCTTCAGATGTATGTTACCACAATACACTCACCACCAAGTTCCCCGTAATCCTCTACCTTAGTCCATTGGGCTCCCTCTTCACTTTGCTTGCCACTCCATTCTTCCCCTGCCCCCCACCCCGGTAGTCACAATTCTACAGTCAGATTTCTAGGGTTTGTTTGGTTTAGTTTTGTCTGTTCTTCTGTTTCCCTGTACTCCAAATATGCATGAAATCACCTGGCAGGACCAAGATGGTAACAAAAGAGGTGTGTTGCTTTACTCCCAAGAGGATCATTGAACAAATTAAACAGAGGGACACTACACCCAGAGAACCCATGGTTTGGGATAGAACTGGAACAGGCCTTGGATACTGGACAACAATACAGGCTTTAAAAGAGGAGACAGAAATGAGATGACTACAGCCTTACCTGGGATTTGACCTGGATAGTCTTCATAGTTATCTCAACTCTGGATGACGAGCTACAAATGCTCACATTTCTGTCATATCGTATAGGAAGAATGCACTAGCAGTTAGAAGTCTCAGAGACTAGTAGGTCATTTCACACTTACAGTCTTATTTTCCAAAATAAGACACCAATAATCAACTTGGCGACAAGTTGATGAGTTCTCAAATCTTTTCCAACTCAGTTCTATAAGGAAATCCAGTTCATTTTACTAATGTATGGATGGACTTAAACAAAAGTAATTGACAGAAAATGACCCAAACCTTATGTATTTCCCTCCTCCATAAGCATCCAAAAGTCCTCATTATTTGCTAACAACCCAAGACAGGAAAGGGATGCTGCTGGATTACCAAATACAGTCCCTTCTGGGTAACTTTTGGAGTCTCGTAAGTTTGGGGATGATGATACATCAGGTCGCTAGGGTACAATGAACCTAGTACATAAATTAAAATAAGGAAGTTATTTGTCTCTAGTAGTTATGAAGTTATGACTAGGTGACTGAAGGTATGTGGGAAGAGTATAGTGTGACAAAAATACAAAATTATTAACACATTTCATTATATTTGAGGGACACAACATTATAGAACCAGCTGAGTTGGCATTGTTGAAAACCTTCTCAGCGGCCATGTAGTGACTCGGCCAGCTGTTGAGAAAGTTTGCTCATTCTTTATTTAGGTTGTTTGTCCACCCATGTAATTTAGAACTTTTCTTTTGAAGAATCCAACAGCCACTAATCCTAACAAATAATACTTTCTAATTCCAGACTATCCTTCATTACATCACAGTGGATAGTGGGGATTCTTCTAGTTATATTTTTCCATCTTTCCTGGAATATGGCTTAAAGAAATATAGAGGCAATTGACATATAAAATAGGAAATGCTAAAAAAAAAAGAAAACATTCATTTTTAGATGAATATTCTGGAACGATTCATTAATTTAACTGTACTGGGGAGCCCATTAAAATTTAAAAATCCTGATGATGTTTTTTTATTTTATTCTGATGCATATTTCTATTTAAATGACTATTTTTGTTAAGAAAAGATTTTTAAAGTTACAGCATTTTAAGTGTAATATTAAATTCTACAGGGAAAGGAAATAAATTTGCATCCTTTAGTTAATAACTGTATTTTAGCTGAAATGACATATTTTAACTAAAGTGAGAAAGAAACCCTCAAAAACTTATTTTGAAGACCCACATATTGCCATTTGTGCCAGGGATACTAACCATAGAGGTTAGTCTGGTGGAATGTTTAATTTCATACCACAAAAGCCAGCGGCATTCTATTACAATACATTCTTTTGGTGTTCAAATGTGTGATTAAGACAAAAGATTTGGTTCCTCCAAGAAGGCTTCTGAAGAAATGGTATCCAAAACAGAGGAGCAGATTTTATTTACCCATGAAACAACTCAGCATCACCACCAAATGAGCTAAATGGGGGAAGAGAAATTTCTGAGTAAGGGAAAGCATCTCTCTTACAAACTGTCTTGTCTCTTTCTGCATTCATCCATTTGCCCCATCTTCTCATCTCTCGGTGCTTGTGAACTATAAAGTCAACTGCGAGAATATTAAGTGAGCAGCCAGAAGTCACTGGATGTGTCAGTCTTCACATTCGCAAACATAGGAATCTCTCTTATATATGACAGCATCCAGTGTTCGGTAACATAGATCAACTATTTGATTTGCTCATGATTTGGGGCCAGCCCTTTGGGTTGCGGTCAGCTGAGTGGTTTTTACATAGGCCTTAAAAAAAAAAAGATTTATTTAAGTGTAGAGGAGCTGGGTACAAGCCAGAGGTGCGAGGTGGAGGGGGCATGGCGGTGCGAGGATTCACCAGAGACACAGTAGGGAACAGAACAGGCAGACTGACTGAACTACACTGCTGAGCGGAGCAGCGGGCGAGACAGGGGAGGTCTACTGTGCCCTATGTGGGTTAACTCCGTGGCCAGGGATCGAACTCAGGCCATCGCAGAAATAGTGCTGTGACTTAACCTCTAGGCCACCAGTGAGGTCCTCTTACATGGGTCTTGTCTGGCATCATGTGTGAAACTGTAATGATCCAGCCACTGTACTGGAACCCCATTTACAAGTGCAGTATTTGTGCTAGGTCTAGCCCAGACTTCTTCCTATAGTAGCAGTATTCTGAGAAATAAGCCTCATTGCAAAGACTTTTCAAACTCTGCCTGCATTGCATGTTCTGATGTCCCTGTGGCAAAACTAATCAAACTGCACAAGAGCTGGATGCAGGAAAGCATGATTCATTGGGGGTCATACTTTAATAACCCACCACATTAGGTAAGGGTAAATGGCAGAAAAAGAGAAATTTTCTCTACCCACCATAGCATGGGTGAAGGAACAAAGGAAACATGCTCAAGATTTGGAATATTGCCTTTGGTTTGGCTTCCAAAAGTACAGGGGAGATAACACATTATTTCCATACACCATGAGGAGCTCAGCTTTGCTGCTAAAGACTAACTTGCTCAAAATAAGTTGGGTCTTTCCAAAACATTCACTTCCCTAAGGCAACGAGGGACAAAGTAGCTCTGTTTCCCTTAATTACTCATTTCTGTTGGTCAAGATTAAATTATAAATACTTCTAAAAGCACCTATATATATTGTAAAAAAACAAAACAAAACAAAAATACACTTTTTTCCTTGAGCGAGGTCATGGAGTGCTGTTGCTATAAGCAAAAGGATATAAGTCAAAGGTTTAGGAGTCAGTAATTTAAAATCAGAGAGTAGCAAAAATAAATAAATAAATAAATAAATAAAATCATAGAGTAGCACCAGTAATTTACTCCTGGGACTTCAAAATGGGGAAATGCCTTGTTATACTCACTAATATGAGCAGTTCACCTCAGCTATGTAATGGACATTCTAAAACATACTTGCCTTTGAGAGATCTGTCAAATGAACCATCTGTAAGATCAGAGAATCACAAAGTTGGCAAGAATTTCAGAAGT